ATTCCCCTGCCTCAGCCTCCCAAGTTGCTGGGGCTACTGGTGTGTGCCACCATGCCCGGCTAATTTTTTGTATTTTAGTAGAGACGGGGTTTCACTATGTTGGCCAGGATGGTCTCGATCTCCTGACCTCGTGATCCGCCCGCCTCGGCCTCCCAAATTGCTGGGATTACAGGTGTGAACCATTGCACCCAGCCACAATGAATGTCTTTAAGCGAGCTGCCCGTTGAATTCATTTCTGAAAAACCTGTGATTAATTTACCACCACCAGATGTCGCTCTTGCACCAGCCATTCCCTACGATGTGATTAGTAATGACACCCTGCTGCCTGGCATAATAACCAGCATCACTTTGCTTCTTGGGGATTCATTGCCACCACCTGGGCTCAATCCCACCAGGCTCTGCGTGTCTCCACTGAAACCCTGAAGCCCAGTTCAAAAAGCATTGCTTTCTGCTAGCATTCCTAGACCGAAAAAACAAGTCAGCCTTACTCTTTACAAAAGATTTCCTATTCTTTGTGAAAGATTAAGATGAGATTTCTGGGTTCACAAAGACAATGTTTCCTTTTTTTTTTTTTTTTTACCATAATCTATAGAAAGAATGGACTTTAAAATATGAGCCGACATCTATCTATTATCTATATCTTTCTATTTAGGCATCCATATCTATACAATCTCTAAAACCTTTTTTAGAAATAACTCATGCCATACGCATGAAACACTATGTTTTTCCATCCACGTTTGCAGCATTGTTAATTTAAACAATGCTGGTTGTGCTTTGATAAATGGAAGATTATGACTCACCATTCGAAAAGAGCTGGCCTAAGTGTCCTTTCCCTCCCTTCCTTCCTCCCTCCCTTCCTTCCTCCCTCCCTCCCTTCCTCCTCCCTTCCTCCCCTCCCTTCCTCCCTTCCTGCTTCCTGCCCTTCCTCCCCTTCCTCCCTTCCTCCCTTCCTCCCCTTCCTCCCTTCCTCCCTTCTCCCTTCCTCCCTTCTCCCTTCCTCCCTTCCTTGCCTTCCTTCCCTTCTTCTTCCTACCTTCCTTCCTACCGTTCCCTTGATGGAGTCTCACCTGTCTCCCCAGGCCTGGAGTGCAGTGGCACAAATCTCAGCTCACTGAGCCGTTCCGGCTCCCAGGTTCAAGTGATCTCCTGCCTCAGTCTGCCGAGTAGCTGGATTCAGGTGCCCGCCACATGCCTGGCTAATCTTTGTATTTTCAGCCGACCACATGGTTTCACCATGTTGGTCAGTCTGGTCTCAAATCTCCTGACCTCAGGTGGTTCCGCCTGCCTTGGATCCCCAAAGTGCTGGGATTACAGGGTGTGAGCCACCGGTGCCTGACCAGAATCTTCTGTTTTTTAGAGTAGCCTCTAGATGTGTTCTGTTGAGGATAGGGATGAACTCTAGATGCATCTTTGTCCCCCAGTGGCTTAGTCCAGGGCCTGGTGCAGGGACGGCTCCATGGATGTCCAAAAATTGAGCCAAATAAATCCTGAGTCATCTGGAAGGGAAAACACAGGCATCTTTCCCCCACTTTTTTTTTTTTTTTTTTTGATGAAGGTCTTGCTCTTGGTCACCCTGGCCGTTTTTTCCAGGCTGGAGTGCAATGGTGTGATCCAGCTCACTGGCATACCATCTGCCTCCCGGGTTCAAGGCAATTCTCCTGGCCTCAGCCTCCTGAGTAGCTGGGGGTTACAGGGTGCCTGCACCGTCCACGGCCCTGCCTAATTTTTTGCAGTTTTATGTTAGAAACGGGGTTTCACCATGTTGAACAGGCTGGTCTCAAACTCCCGACCCTCAGGGTGATCCTCCCCGCCTTGGGCTCCCAAAGTGGCTGGGGATTACCATGCGTGAGGGCACGTGCCCAGCCATGGCGTCTTCTCCCTTTGTATCTGACTTTAGCCAGCTGGGTTTGTGGTCCTCGCCCAGCCCTCGTTTCCGTCTCAGCTTACTCTGGGACAGGATCTCCCCAACCTCCACTCTTAGAAGCATCACCTTCAGCCCCCGCTAGTCCTGGCTGTGGTTGCCTTCTTTAAGAAAACTATTTCCATAGGTTATTGGGGAAAACAGGTGGTATTTGGTTACATGAGTAAGTTCCTTAGTGGTGATTTGTGAGATCTGGGTGCACCCATCACCTGAGCAGTATACCTGGAACCCAATTGTAATCTTTTATCCCTCCCTGTCTTCGAGGCTGGAGGTTTTTTAAAATACTTTACATATCCCGGGTGCTGGATTTAGGCCTTTTGATATTGTTATCATTTGTTCCAGGCTTGTCCAATAATGGGTCTAAGTTTGGGAAATGCGTGGGGTCTAGGTTTGATCTGGATTTGCAAAAGCCAACCAGTAATTATGCAAAATGCAACCAGCTGCCTCGTAGGGGCACCACCACCAGGGAATCTCTGGGTGATGGCAGATTGCCTGCTGTTCAGCATTAAACATACTCAGTGATGTGAAGATCTAAGGTATTTGAAATCTGTACAGGTATCATGTTTTCTTCTCTGACTGTGAACGTTCTGTTCCCCAAACATGTCGAACTGGAATCATCACCAGGAACACGGCAACATGTCGAACTGGAATCATCACCAGGAACACCGGCAACATGTCGAACTGGAATCTCACCAGGAACACAGCAAACGGACTGGCTGCATGATGCAGGGACTTCTGTTTTCAAAATATCTGTTTTTGAGTTTGTTTGAGTTTTTAAGCCAATTTAGCCCCATCACTAACCGGGTATGAACTATGTTAGCAGAGTCATAAAAAATCTGATTTTAATTGTAGCTCCTGAAGCAAAAATTTTTAATTTGAACACTTCGTTTTCTGATTCTACCCCAATGCCTTCGGCAGGATGGTTCTGGCCCTGGAACTCTTTTTTTTTTTGTTGTTGTTGTTGAGACAGAGTCTCACTCTGTTGCCCCGGCTGGAGTGCAGTGGCACGATCTTGGTCACTGCAAACTCCGTCTCCTGGGTTCAAGGAATTCTCCTGCCTCAGCCTCACCGAGTAGGCTGGGATTACCAGGCACCCACCACCACACCTGGCTAATTTTTTGTATTTTTAGTAGAGATTGGGGGTTTCACCCATGTTGCCAGGGCTGGGTCTCGAACCCCTGACCTCAGGTGGAATCCTCCTGCCTCAGCTTCCCAAAGTGCTGGGATTACAGGCGTGAGCCACTGTGCCCTGCCTCTCTGTCTGTCTTTTTCTACCCAATCTTCTCTCCTCATTCCCTCCCATTCCTCCTATTCTGTCTCTCGCTTACTCTCCATCTCTGTCCTTTTTCTTCCTCTCTTGTTCTCCCACGCCTTCTCCATTCCCCAGGAATTTCTCTTCCGCTCACCTGGTTCAGGTATTGCTCTTACTATCCCTGAATACTGCCACTATTATTTGTAGTTTCCAGTTTCCTCTAACTACCCAATTTGAGCGTGCAGTAAGCTTCCTGACTGACACGTTAACCTCAACCAACCCCCTACACTAGCCAGACATCTTCCGATATGTCTCTGGTCACCTCACTCTCCACTCTCTTCAATGACCATGGACACAACCTACCTCACTATACCCCATTCCCTCTAATTATCACAAGATTTGCTTTTCCTACTACTTTCTTGAGAAAAATACAATAAAAACTCTCTCACATACGAATCCCCTCAAATTTATGAATCAGCTTATATCTGCACACTCACTTTTTCTTATACCTTGTAGCAATGGAAGATCTGTTTCTACTGAGGGTGACTCCACTTCCTCCTCCTGGAATCATCCCATCTCTTCCTACTTTCTCAGAGCCTTCTATCAGATAGTTCCTCTCTACTATTCTTTGTTATTTTCTTCATTTTTTTTTCTTTTGAGATGAGGTCTTGCTATGGTTGCACAGGCTAGTCTTTTTTTTTTTTTTTTTTTTTTTGAGACGGAAATCACGCTCTGTCGCCCCAGGCTGGAGTGCAGTGGCCGGATCTCAGCTCACTGCAAGCTCCGCCTCCCGGGTTTACGCCATTCTCCTGCCTCCAGCCTCCGAGTAGCTGGGACTACAGGCACTCGCCACCTTGCCTGGCTAGATTTTGTATTTTTTAGTAGAGACGGGGTTTCACCGGGTTAGCCAGGATGGTCTCGATCTCCTGACCTCGTGATCCGCCCATCCGGCCTCCCAAAGTGCTGGGATACAGGCTTGAGCCACCGCACTGCCCCAGGCTAGTCTTGAACTCCAGGGCTCAAGCAATCCTCCTGCCTCTGCCTCCCAAATGCTGGAATTACAGGCATCGGCCACCACTCTTGGCTTCCATAATCAAATTGGATTCTATCCAGATTCTGCTTACTGAACGTGCTCTGATGGCTTCTCTTTGGAACTTAGCCAACTCTCAAGTGCTGGCATGCCCACTGCCTGGCTCCCAGGGCACCCACCATGGACCAACCCCAGTGGCCTTCCCTCACTTTGTACAATGCACCCAGTTTTGTTGCCCTTGTTTCGTGTGGTTCATATCTGACCTTTTTTAAACCTCACTCTGATACTTTCCCTCCACACCTGTATTCCTACCTCAGGTATCACCTCAGTTATCACCTTTTTTTTTCTGTTTTAAAAATATTCTTTATTAAGGTCATGCATTTTAAATACATGTTAGTTTTTAAAGCAGTTTTAAGTCACAGAAAAATTGAGTAGTAGGTACAAAAATTTCCCATATACACATAGCCTCTGTGTTATCAATATCCTTCACCAGACTGGAACATTGGTTACAACTGATGAATCTACATTGACACATCACTATCACCCCAAAGTCCGTATGCTTACTTTACTTCATTTATTTTATTTTAGAGGTGGGGTCTCCCTTTCATCACAGCTCACTGCAACCTTGAACTGTTGAACTCAGGTGATCCTCCTGCCTCAACTTCCTGAGCAGCTGAGACTACAAGTGTGTGCCACCATGCATAGTTAATTAAAAAAAAATTTTTTTTTTTAGAAACAGGGTCTTACTATATTGGTCCACGTTGGTCTTGAACTCCTGGCCTCAAGCAGTCCTTCCTTTTCAGCCTCCCGAAGAGCTGGGATTATAAGCATGAGCCACCACGCCTACCCCATAGACTTAATTTTTAAAAGGGACTAATTTTACACAGTTAGCAATTAAAGTGCTGAGGCTAAACTACAGATTTCCATATTAAAACCCCATAATCCTTAATCAAAAACCTCTAGTTATTTAGTTAGATCACCTTCAACTCGCATCCCAGAAAAAAAAAATAAAAAAATAAAAAAACCCCTCTCTAAGGAGAAAGGGTTCTCCTCTGCCAACAAAAACTATAGGTTCTTTCCAAGGAGAACGATTAAACATCTTCATCCCCCTCCCCTGGTAAATCTCGCCATCATTCACAGTATTTCCAAATTCGGTCCTTGTTAAAATTCTTGGTCAGTGAACACCATTTTTTCCCAAATGCTTCCCCGTGGTCAGTACAATCCCAGTAGATCAAGCGTCTATACCAGAAGGGAAACACGCAGCTTGCAAAATCTGCAGAAGAGAAAGAGGAAGCAGCAGTCTGAGTGAGAAACCTTTCTCATCTGCACCCCTCCACCACACCATGCACACACATGCACACACATGCACACATATGCACACACCTGCACACACATGCACACACATGCACACACCTGCACACGTGAACAAATGTGCACACATACACATGCACACTCACACAGACATACATGTATGCACACATGTGCACACACACACACATGCAAATACACACTTTTGCTTCCTATTCCGTATCATCTGCTCTGCCCTATTTCACCAAAGGCCCATGGGAACAATATTGGTGGGGGATTCAGATCCCATATTACTTTGATGTTCTACCAAAAAGATTCTTTTCAAAATAATGTGGTTGAAATGCTCATCTCTTTGGCGCAATGTGACTTTTATATCGTAAGAAATTGAACATCCTTTATTTCACAATTGAATTGGCTATGGATTCTATTTTCAGAACCCTCTTGTGCTTCTCCCCACATCCCAGCCTCAGAGACCAAGATTACTGCTCTGAGGTGTTTAGAGGCAGGACACTCACCTTCGGCAGAGCAATACTTCCAGTATCCTTCGTAAGTCTCATTTAACGAGCACCACTTGTGTCTTGACTTGGACCTGATGCAGTCGTAGTAGGTTCCATTTTTATAGTGGAATGGAAAGACACACTCCCCATCTAGAGAAAACAAAATTCTTCCTCTGTTTCCGGGTGTATTGAGAGAGACGTTATCAAGCCACTGTCTTCCTAGGGGCTGCTGCCCTTTGAAATCAGAGTCATTGGCTGTGACTGCAGTAAATGTTATTGTGCCGCTCAATAGCAGAGCTTTGGCTCTCTAATGACAAAGGTCTTTTGTTTTATATTGCTGCCCCTGCCCTACTTTTTCCCCAGGGTATAAACAGTCTCAAAATTTTGCTTAGCATTTGCTCCGGTTTCAGAAATCTCTCGTAAGCATAGAAACATAAATGTGGGCATTTATCTACCAAACAATTCTTCCCCCCTGCCCCTGGATCTCTTATTTTCACCTCCTTCCATCATCTCTCTTTCTCTCCTTCTCCCATACAACTATACATGTGTGTATGTGTGTCACCTGGGTATATATATGTTGTATGGTTATACATATATACTTATATATGTTATATTGTTTTGTATATATGCTATATGGTTAATACAGGATATATATAGTTATATGTGCATACACACAGGTACACATGCATGATTTTTTGCCACCCTTCAAAATTAATCATATTTTATAATTGAGTTTCCAACTTAACACATCACAGAAATCTTCTTAAAGTGATTGTGTCGCTCTAACTTCTTCATGGCTCACTGCAGCCTCATTCTCCTGAGCTCAAGCGATCCTCCCACCTCAACCTCCAGAATAGGCTGGGACTACAGGTGCATGCTACCATGCCCAGATAATCTTTAAATTTTTTGTAGAGATGAGATCTCACTATGTTGGCCAGGGTGGCCTCAAACTCCTGAGCTCAAGCATCCTCCTGCCTCAGCTTCCAAAAATGTTGGGATTACAGGCATGAGCCACTGAGTCAGGCCTTAACTTCTTTCTAATGCTGATTCATGTTCTGTGATACGGATTCACCACAATTCATTCAGTATTTCCACATTCAGATTTTTCCCACTGTAAATACAGCTGCAGTAAACATTTCACGCATTTAAATTCTTATGTACTGAAGCGTTTGTTTCTATAGAATCTCCAAAGCAAGGTTACAAGGACAAAGTGTATATACAATTTTAACATTGATGAATATTGCTTTGTCAAAGAAAATGGCAATTAGTCTTTCCCACAAATTGTGCTCCTTTACCTGAATTTTCATTAGCATGAAGCATTTACACACTTTAAAAATGTTTACCTGTATTACAGATGGTTTCTGCCTTGCTTTAAAAGATCTGCTGGTCCTTAGGCCACACATATATTTTCCATTTTCTTCTTAAATTAAACAATTTTGTTCCTTTTACGTTTAAAATTTGATTAAGCTAGAATTTAGTTTTGTATATGATGCAAAAGGGCAATCAACTTTATTTTCTTTCAAACACATTTAGTAATGACAGATTGATGATGAAATAAACCACCTGTACATTAAATGGTCATGCTTAAAACCATGGATTATTCTAATATATCCTGGGATCCATTCTACATTTGCTCTAAAATTTCTTGAAATTACTAGAGAGGTAAGGAAGCATGGTGGTAAAATGAGCAGACTCTGGAGACAGCAAGTATCACAAAATATTTCTTCCTTTCTTCTCTCCTCTTCCTCCTCCTCCTCCTTCTTTTTCCTCTTCTTCTTCCTTCCTCCCTCCTCCTCTACCTCCTCCTCCTCCTCTTCCTTCTATCTTTCTAGGCTGATTCCATGTTGTTTATATACAGTATTTTAGTATGTCTAAATATCTGATGAGATGAAATATTTCTCTACTCCAGCACTTTGTTCATAATATTTCTAATATTATTGGATGTTTTTTCTATATAAATTTTAAAATCTGTTATTTCTTGTTCGATTGGCAGAAATTAAAGAGTAGACCCATTTAGTGCTGATGAAAGATCAGAGTGACTTCTATACCTCTCTTTTCTTATCTGTTTACAAGGTACTTATATTACATTTTATATAAGAAGAAAATATTATTTTTACTGGAAAAACATTACTGATTCCCCCATTTTTACAAAATTAAAAGAAAATATACATTAATAATCAAAGTTTTCTGATCAACTTACCTTCAATTTCTGGAAAATGACTTATAGTTTCTGAAAAATAAAATTTAGAGCTGACATTTATTCCACTATTATTAGGCTTTAAAATGTGCTCTTATGTAAAATAAAATTAAATAAAATATTAGTTTGGGAAAGAGTGATATTGTTATGGTATTATGTTTTCCATCCAAGAACATGGCAATATCTCTTCTTCAAAATGTATTTTTTTGCTCTTCAATATGATTTTCTTATTTGTTCTATATAAATCCTACACATTTCTCACTGATTTAATTCCAAAGTGCTTTTTTTTGGTCACTGATGTTAAACAGAATGTTTTCCATTTCCATCAATATCCAGTTGGTTCTTACCAGTATAGAGAAAAACTATTGACTGGTGTATGTTTATCTTGTATCCAGCCACATAGCCATATTACTTTATTAAAACTAATAATTTTTATTCATGAATAAAAGTATACAACTATACATGAATAAAAGTATACAAGTATACATGATTTAAAGTATACAATCATAAAATAATTTTGCCTGTTATTTTATATAGATTTTTTCCTTTTTACAATATCACTTATGTTAGAACCTAAAATAGTGTTAACGTAACACCCCTGTGCTTTCCTAGTTTTAATTGGAATGACACTTAGATTAAGAATGTTTATTTCAGCATGGTTAGTATTAGTTTAAAAAATAAGAATTAATTAAAAATATTAATCCCTGAGAGAATATTAAAATGAAATTGACTTTATAATATCAAGTAGGCATTAATAAAGATGAGCATATAAATAGATAAGGAAAAATTTGTACTTCATTTTTAGGTGGCAAAAGGCATTTTCTATTTCATTATTTTCCATAATACTTGATTTTTGCTAAAAATCACATTATGAAGTTACATGTAATGAAATGTTTAATCACCCAAAAGTAAAATTAACAGTAAAATTATGATTTATCACTTCTTCTTCCTTTTTTTTTTTTTTTTGAGATGGCGTATCACTCTGTCGCCCAGGCTGGAGTTGGGTGGTGCAATCTCGGCTCACTGCAAGCTCCGCCTCCCAGGTTCAGGCCATTCTCCTGCCTCAGCCTCCCAGGTAGCTGGGACTACAGGTGCCTGCCACCACGCCCAGCTAATTTTTTGTAGTTTTTTAGTAGAAACGGGGTTTCACCATGTTAGCCAGGATGGTCTTGATCTCCTGACCTCATGGTCTTCCCGCCTCAGCCTCCCAAAGTGCTGGGATTCTTCTTTTTTCTTAACATTTTTAACATGGAATTTACTTAAATATAAGTACATAAAATAGTAATCTTTAATGAAAAATATGATTTCTTACCAGGAAAGGGAATATTCAATGGTTTCACGTTTTATTGCAAAACTCTTAAAAGAAACCCCAATAAAAGTTTTTGATCAACTTACCCACAGTTGATGACAATTCATCTGAAAGACACAATTTTGAACAAATATTTATGTCACTTTAAAATAAAAGAAATGAAAAGATTTCACCAATTTCTATTCTAGTAAGAATAATACTATTTTGAAAGTTAGGCAAAACTAAGTTAACTAAGTTAACTTTGGTTCAATAGAGCTTATTTTTGGTAGTGTGATTGTGGGTGATTTCTTATTTTTCTTTTGCTTTAACTGTATTTTCCAAATATTATTAAAGGATAGGAATGATTAAAATTATTCTTAAAACAAAAAATTCAGCAGGCAAAGGAAATTATTTACTTTTCTCACATTTTTCTATAAAATAAACTACTTCATCATAGGTTTCTGATATGGAACACTATAGGTTTTTATTTTTGTCACCACTTCTCACTGAATACCTGAATTCTACTATTAGAGATTCATGTCTTTAGAGTTATCACTTTCAAAATGGAAACTTCTTCCTCTAGGAGGGAAAAATAAGAATGATACCTCTGAGGTATGTAGGAAATGCAAATAAATGCTCTGAGCATCTTCTCTATCCTGCGTACTATATTTTATTTAACTTATCAGAACAATTTTGTGAGGCAAGCATTGTTTCCATCATCTTAGAGACAAGGTTCAGAAATGTTAAGTTCCATTAAATTAAAAAAGTTAAGCATATGGCAATTCAATTCGAATCCTCCCTGGAGAGGTTGGTTCACTAGGAAGTAACAGCCCAAACCCTGACACAGGCTCAACCACTGACCAACCATCTGCCCTCAGTTTACTCTGCTATAAAATGGAGAGAGAACATTAGGATGTCAAGTCCTCCCCAGTCTGAATATCCTAATATTCTTGGAACGAAGAAAATTGCCTGATAGCTTTACTTTTTTTTTTTTTCTTAAAGCAGCATTTTTCAATCATTGTTCCTTCATGAGCCATTAAACCTGTAATATTTACCTCCCCCTCCTTAGAACTTGAATTTTTTGTTTTGTTACTTTGCATGGTTCCTGATGAAGTGGTTTTATGCAAAGGCTATTTGATTCAAAACCAGCATGTGTTTAGTTAAACAGTAAATAACTGTTACAAAGTTCATTTAATTGAGGCTTTAAGAACAGTCATAACTTTAGGATGAAATACAACGTAGAATGAATTGTAGAATAAATACAGAGTGAAAGATTTGATTTTTTTCCCAAATAGCCCATGATAGATGATACTTAATAATCATTAAAATGATGTAAGATAGAAAAGCACAATTTACCAACAAGTAAATTTACAAATGTCATGTTTGGTTAAGAGAACATACACATACTATAATGTAATTTGCAGATATCTCTCATATTAAAGCATTATAACTCAACATAATCTGTGTTTATAACTAGTTCATCAAATTTGTAGATTACACTTAAAAGAGCAATGACTTAATTTTTTTATTTTTTGAAAAGATTTTTGCAAAAGCAATGATTTTAATTCTGAATTTGTTGTGTATATTTTATTTATTACTGATTATTTTGCTATTTGCTCATGTTTATTCTTTCCACAGGTTTGTTTTTCAGCTAAATTGTCCTGGCTGCCATTGTGGCTTGAAATTAAAACGTTTTTCCTTAGGCATATATTATTTAAGAAATAGTTATAATGGACCAGCACAATGGTTCACAAGCTTTGTTGCATATTAGAATCACCAGCTGAGTCTCCTGCCTCTGCCTCCCAAGTAGCTGGGACTACAGGTGTGCACCACCACACCTGGCTAATTCTTGTATTTTTGGTAGAGACAGGGTTTTGCCATGTTGGCCAGGCTGGACCCAAACTCCTGACCTCAGGTGATCCACCTGTCTTGGCCTCCCAAAGTGCTGGGATTACAAGTGTGAGTCACCATGCCTGGCTTGAAGAAAACATATATATATATATATATTTTTTTTTTAATTTCAAAGGATTAAGAAGGGCCCCTAAAAATTAATATAGTCCTAGAATTAGTCTTAGAATACTTATACAAAACTGGCTTTCTTTATGATCCTTTGAGGAAAGTGTAAAATGGAAGAAGACAAAGCTATGCACTGGAAAATCATAACAATTTTGTCAGAAAAGTCCTGCATCCCAATTCTTTTCATTCTCAATAACTCACCTTTCGTCATAATTCAAGCTAAATTCTGTTACAATATATAAGGTTTTAAAAATACCCTGATTTGAAATAAAAATCAGTCTCACTTTTTCAGATAAACCCAAATCAAAATTGTTTTATACGGCCATAAAAAAGAACAAAATCATGTCTTTTTTAGCAACATGGATGCAGCTGGAGGTCATTATCCTAAGCAAATTAATGCAGAAACAGAAGACCAAATACCACATGTTCTCACCTATAAGTGGGAACTAAACACTGGGTGCACAGGGACGCAAAGATGGGAACAAGAGACACTGAGGATTACAGAAGTGGGGAGGTAAGGAGGGGACCCAGGCTTGAAAACTACCTATTGATGGCTGCGCGCAGCGGCTCACACCTGTAATCCCAGCACTTTTGGGAGGCTGAGGTGGTCGGATCATGAGGTCAGGAGTTCAAGACCAGCCTGGCCAACATGGTGAAATCCCGCCTCTGCTAAAAATACAAAAATTAGCCGGGCGTGGTGGTGGGCGCCTGTAATCCCAGCTACTTGGGAGGCTGAGGCAAGAGAATTGCTTGAACCCAGGAGGCAGAGGTTGCAGTGAGCCAAGATCGTGCCACTGCATTCCAGCCTGGGCAATACAAGACTCTGTCTCCAAAAAAAAAAAAAAAAAAAAAAAAAATCTAGACAAAGTACCATAGACTGTTTGGTCTAGAGCATTTATTGTCTCATAGATCTGGAGGCCAGAGGCCAAAATGCCAGGGTTGGTTCCTTCTTAGGAGCTCAGAGGAAGAAACTGTTCTGTGCCTCTCTCCTTGCTTTTGGTGTCTGCTGGCAGGCTGTGGTATTCTGTGGCTTGTGGCAGCATCACTTTAATCTCTGCTTCTGACTATGCATGGCTGTCTTCCCTGTGTGTGTCTGTTTCCTCTTCTTAAAAAGATACCAGTCATTGGATTAGGGTCAACGCTTACCCGTTATGACTGCATCTTCATTAAGTACGTCTGCAAAGACCTATTTCAAATACAGTCATATTCACAGATCTCTGGTAAACATGAATTTTGGAAGGACGCTATGCAATGCAACCCCAGACAGTGAGGATGAAGATGAAGAATTTGAGCATCACTAGACAATACAGTTTGTGGAGGCTAAAGCACCTCTGTCTTGGATGCTAATTCGCCGTGTTGGTTTCTGATGAACCCCATTCTCAGAATGTCCCTAAAATTTCTATTTTATCTAGTGTTCTTTGTGAAAGAACATGTACTACAAACATGTACTTACTTTTTTTTTTTTGAGACAGAATCTCACTCTGTCACCCAGGTTGGAGTACAGTGACGCTATCACAGCTCACTGCAACCTTGACTTCCCAGGCTCAAGTGATTCTCTTGCCTCAGCCTCCCAAGTAGCTGGAACTACAGGCACGTACTACCATACCTGGCTAATTTTCAAAATTTGCTGTAGAGACTGGGTCCCACTATGTTTCCCAGGCTGGTCTCAAATTCCTGGGCTCAAGCAATCTTCCCGTCTTGACCTATGCCTGGCCAGAACATATATTTACTATTGATCCTTTCCTTAGGTCAAAACAACCTTGATCAAAGAACCTTTAGGCAGGGCTGGGTGTGGTGGCTCATAGCACTTTGGAAGGCGGAGGTGGGCAGATCGCTTGAGCTCAGGAGTTTGAGACCTGCCTGGGCAACTTGGCGAAATCTTATCTCTACCAAGATTACAAAATAAAATTAGCTGAGCATGGTGGTGTGCTCCTGTGGTCCCAGTACTGGGAGGCTGAGGTTGCAGTGAGCTGAGATCACGCCACTGCACTCCAGCCTGGGCGACAGAGTGAGACCTCGTCTCGAAAAACAAATACAATAAAATAAAATTAAAAATTAAAAAAAAATTAAAAAAGAGAAAATCCTGCCATTTTCGGTAACATGGATGAACCTGGAGTATATTATGCTAAGTGAACCAAACCAGTCACAAAAGGACAAATATTGCATGATTCCACTTGTACGAGATGTTTAAAGTAGTTAAACTCACTCTGTGACTATCGACTACTAAATCCAAACCATTATCCTGCCTCTTTAATACTGTAATAGTACTTTTGGTACTGTAATAGTAGTAATAATGACATAACGATAACAGTTCTGTTCTGAGCGTCACACATGCTAACCCATTTAATCTTCCAGCAACCCTGGGAGGCAGCAAGAATCATGATCCTCCTGTTTCAGATGTGGGAACTCATAGCTATCCAGGGCTCAAAGTCTTGCTCGAGGCCACAGGCTAAGCTTGGTTGGAACCCGGAGATGCTGGAGGGAAAACTGGTCTCCTAAGCTTGCCAGGAGCGGAGTAGAGTGGGACGGAGGAGGCGAGAGGAGCCTTTAGTTCTTGGTGAGCGGGGATGCGTGAGAGCTCTTAGCTATGGTTCCTCCTCATCCTCTTTAAAACAATGGCTCTTGCAATGCAAGATTCCCATTTTAACACAAACCCTTGTTGACATCAAACGACCGGTTGGCGGGCAGTCCCTCCGCACCAAAGCCTGAAATGCCAAACGGCAAAAGGGAAAACCCCAGCGTTTTGGGTTCATGAAGCATGGATCTACATACCTGGACAGTTCTCCCTGCAAGGGACCCCACTCCCACGTAATCCCTTAGACAACCCATCAACTTGGAATAGTAATTACATTTTGGACATGGCAAATTTTCAGCCCTGGAACAAGATCACCCAATCAAGTCCTTTGTGAAGTCTTGCCAGTTCCACCACTTTTTCTTTTTCAGGGCAGGCGTATAGCCGATTCAGCATGTGCCACACGCACAGTCCGTTTCCTCTTCTGCCTTCCCACTAGATCGTGCACTAGTGGGAAGAGATGGGGGTGCATATCGTATGCTCATGAGTGGAGATGCTCATGCTGTTTAGTCTCTACATCCTGTGCATCTAGCAAACCTATCAGGTCACTGTTTTTATTTTTTGTTTGTTTGTTTGTTTTTGAGACCGAATCTTGCTCTTGTTGCCCAGGCTGGAGTGCAATGGCGTGATCTCAAATCACTGTAACCTCCGCCTCTTGGGTTCAAGCGATTCTCCTGCCTCAGCCTCCTGAGTAGCTGGGATTACAGGCACCTGCCACCACGCTCGGCTCAGTTTTGTGTTTTCAGTAGAGATGGAGTTTCGCCATGTTGGCCAGGCTGGTCTTGAACTCCTGACCTTGTGATTCGCCCACCTTGGCCTCCCAAAGTGCTGGGATTACAGGTGTGAGCCACTGCACCCGGCCAGTCATTGCTTCTAAAACACTAAAATGCAATGCTCCCCTGATGAGGATGAGGGAGAACCGTAGCTGAGAGCTCTCATACATCCCCACTCATCAAGAACTGAAGACTCCCTTCCCTTCCTCTGTCCCACTTGACTGCTCCTGGCAAGCTCACGAGTCCCGATTTCCCCCCAGCATCTCTGGGTTCCAACCAAGCTTAACCGACGGCCTCAAGCAAGACTTTGAGCCCTAGATGTCTATGAGTTCACACCTTCCCATTCTTTGCCACGACATCTTATTATCTGCAAGCAGGATTGCTGTGGGGACCCAGTTGTGATTGTCTGTACTGAATACAACCAGTGTAAAAAACTTGCAGTTTGCTCAAAAGAAACTCTTAAGAGACAATAGGCCAGGTGCGGTGGCTCCTGCCTATAATCCCAGCACTTTGGGAGGCTGAGGTAGGTGGATCACCTGAGGTCAGGAGTTCGAGACCAGCCTGGCCAACATGGTGGAACCTGGTCTCTACTAAAAATACAAAAATTAGCCAGGCGTGGTGGCATGCACCTTTAGTCCTAGCTACTCGGGAGGCTGAGGCAGGAGAATTGCTCAAATCTGGGAGGCTGAGGTTGCAGTGAGCCGAGATTATGCTACTGCACTCCAGCCTGGGTGACAGAGCAAGACTCTATCTCAAAAAAAAAAAAAAAAAAAAAAAAAAAAAAAAAAAAAAAAAGAGAGAGAGAGAGAGAGAGAGAATAAGTCCAGGAGGCAGATGCAAGGGAGAGAGAGGGAGATAGTGAATAGGCAACAGTTCTGCAGATCAAAAGGAGACCAGCACCACATCATTTAACATACAGGCTAACAAGCCCGGGGCTCATGAGTTTTTATTCTCTGATGCATTATTAAGAGAAATGCTTCATCTCTAAGGCTCTGAATGGCACAAGTATTATGTGGAAAAATATGACATCCATAATTCAGGAGACCAGACATTGACAGTGGAGAAGATTTAGGATCATCTTAATTAGCTTTTTCCCACTTGTCTATATTCCTTTTTATGTATCTACAAACATGATGTCTGATTAAAAAAAAAAAACCTGTGGCCAGGTACAGTGTTATTTTTCAATAAGTACAAAATAATTCTACGGGATAAGAAAGCAGTGGTCATAGTTACATTGGGAGTACCTTTTTCTTTTCTGTTCTTTTTTTAAAAAATAGCAAGCACAGTGTTATTTTCTTTTAATGCAAGGATGTCCTGAAGAATACTTAAAAGAAATATATGCAAGATCATTATTCTTGGTCATTCCATAAAAAATTGTTTTTGAAATTATGCTTAGTCCTTATCAAATGTGTCAGATGCATCCATAGTGAATTCCCTTCTTATTTTTATATTTTCGCTTCATAATTGTTACAGGCAACACGACTTTGGAAAAGGAATAAAATCGACTTTATGAAAATCAGTCTCATTTTCAAAACCTCTGCATAAGACATTGAAAATCTCCTAGCATAAAGGGAGGAGACATATGGTTTTCAAGTAACATGTCACTAGGATTTTCCAATTTTCATTCTTAGTCTTTCATTCTTTTATTCGCTGAACTTTCTTATTTTTTAAAAAATATTTACCCATGGATTGTGTTTCTGACCTGAAAGGGAGAGTATCTTTTTCTTTCTTAAGGTACCTAAAGCAAGGGGGACTGTGGCCCTCTGTGGCGACTGGGATTTGATTATATACAGCAGCAGATATGCAGGACTCTGTCCCCAGCCAGGGTCACCTGGCTCCTCACCTTCTTCTAGAATGTTGAATAGACCGCCGACCACACCACCGACCACACCACGAAACAGGCAGACCCAAACCAGCAGGAGCCCCATGTGCCGGGCCATGCTCCTGTCAGACACTCGTGGTCGACCAGCTGATCTCCAAGATTTTATAGCCCCTGGAACTAACCACAACCACTTCTCCTCCCTGTCCTCTCCTCTCCTTCCCTCCTTCCCACTTCCCCTCCCTGTCCCTCCTCTCTTTCCCTCCTCCCCACTTCCCCTCCCTGTCCCCTCCTCTCTTTCCCTCCTCCCCACTTCCCCTCCCTGTCCCTCCTCTCTTTCCCTCCTCCCCACTTCCCCTCCATGTCCCCTCCTCTCTTTCCCTCCTCCCCACTTCTCCTCCCTGTCCCCTCCTCTCTTTTCCTCCTCCCCACTTCTCCTCCCTGTCCCTCCTCTCTTTCCCTCCTCCCCATTTCTTCCTTGTCCCTCTCCTTTTTTACCTTCTCCTCCTCATCACTTTTTCTCCCTTCTCGTTCTCCTCTCCTCCTCCTCCTTCCTTTCCTCCTCCTTCTTCTTCCCTTACCCCTCCTCCTCCCCTCCTCCTCTTCTTCCCTCTCCTCCTTTTCTTCTTTCTTCCCCTCCTACCCCTCCTCCTCCTCCTCCCCCTCCTTTCTCTCTGTCTCCCCCTCCTCCTCCCCCTCTTCCTCCTCTTCTCCCCTCCTCCTCCCCCTCCTCCTCCTCTCCCTCCTTCCTCTCTGTCTCCCCCTCCTCCTCCCCCTCCTCCTCCTCTTCCTCCTCTTTCTCCCCTCCTCCTCTCCTCCTCCTTCTTCCTACTCTCCCTCATTCCCCTCCTTCTCTCCCTCCTCCTCCTCTTCCTTCTACACCTCCTCCCCCTCTTCCTCCCCCTCCTTTCCCTCTTTCTCCCCCTCCTCCTCCTTCCCCTCTTCCTCCTCTTCCCTCTTCCACCTCCTTCCCTGCCTCTTCTCCCTCCTTCCCTTCTTCCCCTTCCTCCTCCTCTTCTTTCATCTTTCATCCCCAACTTCTCCCTCCTTCCTTGCTCTCGCTCTGCTCCAAAGTTAAGCTATCTACCTTGCCTAGGAAGAAATACTTAAAATAACAGACAGGGAAGATGCAGGCTGAGGAATTTCATGTCGTTTCCATGAAGAGAGAACCATCAGGGAGCCCATGAGCAGTCACAGGTTTACCTGTATCTCAGATCTTCCTGGTCTTTGTCAGCCAGGGCTCAAGAATCCCCTGGAGAGGCCCAGGGAGGTTTCTTGGAAAAGCAGGTTTGCTTCCCTAATATAAGCACCGTTGTTGGTGCTCCACAAACCTTCGACGTGGGCCACTGTTCTCTGGAGGCCCTTGGCGATTAACCTAATGGGCTGCAGATGGCTTTGAAGTTCTGAGGAATGAGCGGTGCAGCGTTATGGACACCTACATTTCCAACTATGAAAAGTTAGATTAATTATGAATTCTGAAACACAGTGTGTTCTCAGTTACTGTTCTTTTTTTTTTCCCTTTTTTAGACAGAATTTTGCTCTTGTTGCCCAGGCTGGAGTGCAATGGTGCGATCTCGGCTCATTGCAACCTCCGCCTCCCAGGTTCAAGCGATTCTCCGGCCTTACCCTCCCTAGTAAATGGGATTACAGGCATGAGCTACCACACCTGGCTAATTTTTGTATTTTTAGTAGAGACAGGGTTTCACCATGTTGGTCAGGCTGGTCTCGAACAAGGTGATTCACCCGCCTTGGCCTCCCAGAGTGCTGGGATTATAGGCGTGAGCCACCTCACCTGGCCCTTAGTTACTATTCTTAGAAGAGGGACTGGGCACAGTGGCTCACGTCTGCAATCCTAGTGCTTTGGTAGGCTATGGTGGAGGCATCGTTTGCAACCAGGAGTTTGAGACCAGCCTGGGAAACATAATGAGACCCCCATCTGTACAAAAAAAAAAAAGTTAACAAATTAGCCGAGCATGGTGGCATATGCCTGCTGTCCCAGCACTTTGGGAGGCTGAGGTAGGAGGATAGTTTGAGCCCGGGAGTTTGAGGCTGCCGTGAGCTATCATCGCACCACTGCACTCTTGCCTGGGCAACAGAGTGAGACCCTGTCTCAGAAAAAAATTGTGGAAGACGGGCTATCTTTTCATCTCCATTTTTTTTTTTCTCAGTAAGATGGAATCTCCTTTGGAAAAAGTGGCAAAAGATAGCCCTCCCCGCAACTAAACTGTCAAAAACGTCAATGACTGTCAAATTAGAAGCTCTTATGAAATAAAAGCCTATCCAAAACTTTAAAAATACCTTTGGGGAATCCTAGTCTTTGGAAATGACTATTGCCTTCACTTATTTCTAACATTTCTTTTTTCTTTTCTTTTCTTTTCTTTTTTTTTTTTTTTTTGAGACAGAGTCTCGCTCTGCCGCCCAGGCTGGAGTGCAGTGGCGTGATCTTGGCTCACTGCAAGCTCCGCCTCCCGGGTTCACGCCATTCTCCTGCCTCAGCCTCCCGAGTAGCTGGGACTACAGGCGCCCGCCACCTCGCCCGTCTAGTTTTTTTGTATTTTTTAGTAGAGACGGGGTTTCACTGTGTCAGCCAGGATGGTCTCGATCTCCTGACCTCGTGATCCGCCCGTCTCGGCCTCCCAAAGTGCTGGGATTACAGGCTTGAGCCACCACGCCCGGCCTTAGATGGAGTCTTGCTCTGTTTCCCATGTTGGAGTGCCATGGCATGATCTCGGCTCACTGAAACCTCCACCTCCTGAGTTCAAGTGATTCTCCTGCCTCAGCCTCCCAAGTAGCTGGGACCACAGACATGTGCCAGCAGACCCTGCTAATTTTTGTATTTTTAGTAGAGATGGTATTTCACCATGTTGGCCAGGCTAGTCTTGAACTCCTGACCTCAGGTGATCCACCCGCCTCGGCCTCCCAAAGTGCTGGCACCTCTTTCCTTCTTGTTTGAACATCTTTTACAGATCTTGACTATATTCTACAACATAATGGGTGGTCTTTGGCACACTGCCTTTTTGCTATTATTATTGATACTTTATGAAGATCAAGTGTGCTAAGACATTGCACTTTTGCAGAGCCACCCATCCTCGCCTTTAACATCTTTGTTTCACGTCACTCATCATTGCATTGCAAGTCATCAGTTTCCCACTCTGCAAGAATTTCTTCAATCAGTTTCCCTTTATTATTAGCCATACAAGATCCAAAAATCCCTTAGCAGATTAATGTGGGCTGGGCGCAGTGGCTCATGCCTGTAATCCCAGCACTTTGGGAGGCCGAGGTAGGTGGATCACCTGAGGCCAGGAATTCGACACTAGCCTGGCCAACCTGGTGAAACCCTGTCTCTCCTAAAATATACAAAAATTAGCTGGGTGTGGGGGTATGCGTCTGTGGTCCCAGCTACTTGGGAGGCTGAGGTAGGCGAATTGCTTGAACCTGGGAGGCAGAGGTTGCTGTGAGCTGAGGTCATGCCACTGCACTGTAGCCTGGATGACAAAGCGAAACTCCATCCTCTGACTCCAAAAAAAAAGAAGATGAAGGAGGAGGAGGAGAAGAAGAAGAAGAGGAAGAGGAAGAGGAAGAGGAGGAGGAGGAGGAAGAAGAAGAAGAAGGCGGTTGATGGATGAAGAGAAAGAGAGAGGAAAACACACACACATACACCCCCCCCAATATATAGTGAGACATTCAAACAGAAAGAGAGACACTGAACAAAACCCAAAGACAGAGAAAGAGCTTCAAAGAGGAAGGAAAAGGAGGCAAGGACAGAGGGAGAAAGAGAGACGGGAGTGGAGAGATGGCGAAAGAGAGACTGAGGAAGAGAGTGACAGGGAGGGCCAGAGAAACAGCCAGTGAAAAGAGGTGAAGGCAGAGACAGACAGAGAAGTCAGGGCAGAGGAGGCCACCATGTGAGAAACCCCCAGCCTGCGAGCCTCTTATTCTGAAAACACCCAAGCCTGGGATGTGAAGATGCAGCACCGAAGAATCAATAAAACAAAGAGCCCCAGACATGCTGGGTCAAGCCCTACTCTCCCCAACAATTTGCTGTATGAGGTTCAGTAAGTCTCTGAGCCTAGCTGTGCCTCAATTCCCTTATCTGTAAAACCAAGGAGTCATACTAGGGTCAGCCGTAACACGTGGCCAACTCTGACAGATCCCAAGAGAAGGCTTGTGGACTTCTTCACAAAATCCCAGGATGGTGGAGAATCATTTAAAAATGATGGCCTGTACTCCCAGCACTTTGTGGGGTTGAGGCAGGTGGATCACCTGAGGTCAGGGGTTCAAGACCAGCTTGGCCAACACGGTGAAACCCTGTCTCTATTAGAAATACAAAAATTAGCTGGGCGTGGTGGTGGGCACCTGTAATCCCAGCTACTCAGGTGGCTGAGGCAGGAGAATCACTTGAACCCAGGAGGCAGAGGTGACAGTGAGCCAAGATCACGGCTTTGTACTCCAGCCTGGATGACAGAGTGAGACCCTGTCTCAAAAATTAAAATAAAATAAAATAAAAATAAAATAAAATGACGTATTTCAGAAGGCTAGTTTCAATTATCCCATGCTTGCCTTTTCACTAGAAAATTCTAGGGCTTGGTCGGGCACAGTGGCTCACGCCTATAATCCTAGCACTTTGGGAGGCCAAGGTGGGCAGATCACTTGAAGACGGGAGTTCGAGACCAGCCTGACCAACATGGAGAAACCCAGTCTCTACTAAAAGTGCAAAATTAGCTGGGCGTGGTGGCGCATGCCTGTAATCCCAGCTACTCGGGAAGTTGAAGCAGGAGAAAGGCTTGAACCTGGGAGGTGGAGGTTGTGGTGAGCCAAGATGGCACCATTGCACTCCAGCCTGGGCAACAGAGCAAGATTCTGTCTCAAAAAGAAAAAGAAAAAAGAAAAGAAAAGAAAAGAAAATTCTGGGGTTCTCTTTCATTGTTCAGCCGAAACCTCTCCAGCAATTCATAGCTGAATTTCTGGGAACATTCCCTCCTCTGTTCATTAATATTCTTGTCCCTGACCCCAGCCCCCGCAAGGCCCCGTCCATGTACACTTGACTGAATTTTATGGGCTTCGTGGATATGCATGGGGTTATCTCGAGGCATCATAAATTAACCACAGCTGATCTCATCC